ACACTGAAATATATACAAGTGGAAATTATACAGAACAGCAGTATTCTGTATAAGCAGACTAGGATTGAAATAAATAGATTGGTGACAACAGGTAGCAAATTAAGTTTGCAATAGAAAAGCAATACTATTGGCATCCCTATGAAAAAGCCATCTCGAATGAGGGCTACTATTCCTTATTGAAAATATTTGAGTATTTCCAGGAATACAGTGTATAGTTCAGAACAGTTTGTGTCCCGAGCAATAGTCATGAACTGTGTTTTAGGCTTCTACTTTAGATACGGGGCACCTAAATGTTAGCAAAGTTTCTTAGTGAAGTACAAGACACAAGGCATTACTTGAAGGCCTGGAAATGAGTAGTCAGATAGGCTTCTTCTGTCTCTAACTTCTGTAGCACTTTGAGTAATATGAGTGGGAACAGAGAAAGTTACTGTGAAACCACTAATGATAAGGTATTAAGCCAGAAAAAGGAAGGAGAAAATCTTGTGCTGTGTTGAAAGTAAATTGGATTGACACAGAAAAGTTTTCCTCTTACATATAGTCAATGCAATATGTACTGAAGAAGACAAAGAAGTTTAAGCAGAGTAGCAAAAATGCTGGTGTGTCCTGTGCCAGAACAATGTAGCCTACAAGTTAGCAAGGAACAAAGGCAAAAAAAGCCTTTACTTAAGTCAATTGGAGAGAATAACAAAACAAATTGTTTCAAGTACGGTCGTTTAGTGCACAATTTGCTATATAATAGCTAAGGCCGATTCTCTCCTCTCCAAATTCCTTCTGAGGAACCCAGTGAAGCACCATGGCACTGCCTGGCCCTCTGCATCTGTGGAAAAAGTGGCAACAGTTTGAAAGCAGTGGCTCTCACACTGTTAGGTGGAAGGTGTGGATTTGAGTGGTCACCGTTCACAAGGATTAAGATAATGTCCCATCCACTTCGTCAGCTGACATTTGAGATTCGATTAGACCTGTCAAGGTCTGTCAACTTAACAGTTGCCCATCTTTTCATTAAAAGAGACATCCTCAGTCATGAAAAGAGTGTCTAATCAAGTACCGTATTGGAAGGACGTTGTCAAAAATAATTGCTTTTTGTAATAGCTGAACATCAGCTAATAAAATAAGTGTTTTTAAAACAAATATCTTGACAGATGCAAACCATACTGTCTCTGAAGAAGGTATTTGGAGATTGACCAGACAATTAGAATTTAATTGTTACATTTGTTAACCTTAATTTCATCACAGAGCACGCACTGGATGCCACTCCTTGAGTAAAGAAAAACAAAGTAGTTTGACACCATATTACAGCATCAGCCGAGCACTCAGTGAGTTTTGCCAAAGCCAAGCCAGGCTGCTGTGCTCTGTCTTTGTGCCTGTGTTCAGGCACGCTGAATCTGTCTTAATATTTGCCGCTGGTGCTGGTTCTCTTGGCCAGACATTCATTGTCCCTGGCACACTTTTTCATCCTCTGGCTGAAAGTTCATCTTTTGCCTTACGACTGTCAAGTCTTACACAGACAAATAATAGATTTTACAACACATCCCCCCTCTCCACATAACGTCGATGCATCCTCCTCATCCCCATAACATGTTTGGTAGCAAGAATATCTCATCTGTGCATGCAAGAGAAAGTATGAACTGGGCTACCAATTGTCCTTGCAGGTGAGGCCCTGGGGAAGGAAAATTAAGACTTAATGAAATTTAAGGTACATCAGGAGATCTGGCCAAGCAGACAGTGTTTGTTTAAATAATAGCATATACGTAGGATTAAGGACTTGTCTTGATGTGGACATATTGGTGAGACCAGACCTCTACCTTTTTCAGCAGGCTTTGGGGAGCATTGCACTAACAGTGGTGACGACCTCTGTTTATTTTACCTGCTGCTCCGAGACAAGGAAAATCATGTGCGTGTTTGACATGTTGGTAATGAATTTCTTCTATACCAGGCAAACGCTGCAGAATGTCTCAGGAAAACATCCTAATTAAGAGGTGGATTTGAGTAGACATACAATCTCTAAAATATCAGAAGTTCCACTCAATTTAATGTACATCCAGCAGCTCCCAAGAGAGTGTTTCAAAATCACTAAGCTTCTGCTTAGCAAAATGGGGATGAGCACAGGGGCTCTGAAGGATTGTAAATGAAAGATTACTTAACTCTGAGGGAATTGTCTGACTTCTGAATGTTTTAAAGCAAGCTTCTTTCTTGGTAGCTTTTTTATTCGTGTGTAAAGCAGAAGTTCATATTGCACAGAGCCTTCCACGGGGCCGTTCAAATAGTCAAACACCTTTTCAAGATCTGTCAGGAAGTGCCCTGTGAATCTGATCCATGTGTTGCAGGCGTTGAGACTACACGAAAAGTGGTTTCCTGGTTAAAGTAAAGATTTCAGTGTGTTTTCATTTGGGTATTATTTCTCTTTACACTCAGGTTTCCCTGAAAAAGGAAGGTAAAAGTAAAAAGAGGATTCCTTTTTAAAGAGAGATAAGTTATTTAAAAATTCATGTGCACTAAAAGCAATCAAATTATCTTAACTGTGTCACATTTGACGATTTAAAAAGAAAACAAAATTTCTTTTTAAAATACAATCCTTGAAATCATCAAATAGACAAGTTGGAGGTGACGGGAAGCTCCTTGCTACGTACAGCTTTGCCTTAGGAATCAAATGTTCATGGCCCTTTTCCTCCAGCTTCGTGGATCTCACAGCATTTTGGAGAGATTCAATGTTGGCAGATCTGTATATCTGCATAAGATGTCCCTGAAGTCTATGGGACGTTGGTGACGGGCATGTCAAAATGAATCAGATTATAAAACTGTGGTTTAAAATGGGAAGATGCTATGGGCTGGCCCTTGACTGCCTGATCTCTGCCTGCTGCATGCTAAACAGCTTCTCTGAAGCCAGGAGTCTTGGCTCAGTGTTATTGTAAGATTTTGCTAGTTTTTCCCTTTGCCTCATAAAAATTCTTACGTACCAACTATTCGCTGCTCAGGAGGGATTATCTTTTTTTTTATTATGTTCAGTATAGATGTCCAGGCACAGATTTACTAGGAGAAAAGAATGGGATCTCTAGCCTCCCTCCTTTCTCCAGTAGCAACAGCCTTTCGGCAAGGACAAGCAAACTATCAGAGGATGGTTTCCTCTCATTAACTTGCAGGTTAAGGCTGGGAACATGTTAGCTGATGCACTCCCTAGCACACAACAGGGCCACGCAACTCTCCCAGCTCCCCATCCGTCAGGTCACAGCTCTGTCCACTGCGATGCTTTTTCCTTCATTATAGAAAAGAAGCAATCACACAATAAGTGTTTTGATTGTATCTAGGCCACCACTATTTTTTACCTCCTTTAGAAACCTTTCTTCTAACGCGATATATTTCTATGTCCTTAAAGATATCCTTTCTGGAAGTGTTGCTTCTCAAATTGCTTTTCAGTAGCAGGTTTGATTTACAAATCTCGTACCTGACAAACCCTGCACAAAACAAAGCTGGAGTCAGGGGCTCTTTTGTAACCGAAAAAACATTCAAGCTGCAAGAGAGAGCAGTCTCCTGCCTCGCTGGTGGGGTGGGCAGCGCGGTGGAGCGACAGCTTTAGCAGAGCTCCCATTTGGTGGAAGGCAAGCTGCAAGCTTTTTGCACCTTCTGTTAAACCTGCTGAGAGGGCATGTGAGCCTTTCTTCTTTAAAGCATGTTTGGGAAGAACTATTCAACATAACAGAGATTGTCTATGGGAAAGGTTTCCTAAGCAATTAAACTGCTTTTTGTACTTTTCAGTGAATCCTTTCCAGGAGCTTTTTCTAGACAAGGGTTGCTACAGATTGGGCTCTATTAGTGAGTGCTCCCCAGCAGGAACCACTTTGACTGATGGTTGGGCCAGAGGCGCCTACAGCTCTGCTCCCGACCCCCATCCAGACCCTGAGCCTGTCCCCTCAACAGTCTGTCCCTTTTTTAATCTGTTTAAGGATGTTAACTTCAACCTACCTTTAAGGGTAGTATGGAGTTTAATTTACAAATACGAACTGGGTGTAATGTGAGATTATTCTGTTGCTTACCGTAGAAGATGACAGGCTCTGAAAGGTAATTTGGCTGTATAAGTAGGCTTACAGTACCAGGTGATCACTTTCTTAATTTTCATGTCAAAGGGAGGGGAAGATTTCTGGTTTTCCTCACCCTTCCTCCTTTCTGCTCTCTTCCTGTCACCTACTTGGATGATTTTCAGGTCCGTAGGGTGAAGGAATAGGGTTTTAGTTCACTTTTGGCAAACCTTTGGAACTGAATTCCCGATCCACTGCTGTACTGAATCTCTAGCCTTGGGAGATCTGCAAAAACATAGGACCTGCACCAATATACTCTGATGGGCCATCAGTCCTGCCACAGCCAGTTAATTTTTCTTTGGTGATGCTTCTCCTAACACTGTTGACTTTACTGAATGCCAGGTACAATCTTTAACAACATATATTAATATTAATTAACAGCACCTTCTCAGTTCAAGGCCCTGTCTGTGCCAGTCCATGTGCAGGATGAGTTCCTAATGACCTGGTACTTGAGCCATGACACTTCATCCTGGCAATTTTTTAATTCTCCTCAACAGTTCTATCATTGTTGTGACTTACATATGTGCTTGAACATATTTTTATGTTTTAAAAGCCTTCAGTGTGACGTGAGCTGTTGTTGTAGTAAGTAATTTTTATCAATGGACTTCTGTTTCTTTTTCATTGCCTGATGAAAGAGACATTTGGGCTTACATTTTCTAGCTACTGAAGAAGAAATAGTTTTCTCCTGAAGCTCAGTAGCTGGGGTTTTCAAGCATTTTTTCTCTGTTAGCACTGGTCCATGTTAGCATTCTCATTTTGTATAACACAAATAACCTTGAAGTTAACTCTCTTAAGTGTTAGCTATAAGACTGAGTGTGTTTTGTCCCCAAAGCTCAGGATTCCTGTGCTTTCCATCCTGAGGTACATCCTTTTAGCTTAGCTTGGAGCCTAGCTAAGTCAATGCTTAATACAGTATTCTTTTAATTCCAGTCCTACATGGAAGATCATCTGAAAAACAAGAATCGTCTGGAGAAAGAGTGGGAAGCTCTGTGTGCTTATCAGGCTGAACCCAATGCCACCACCATTGCACAGCAGGAGGAAAATATCCAGAAGAATCGCTCACGGGCTGTAGTACCATGTATGTATAGTTTAATTTGAATTATTGCATTTTAAGTTCTTGATAGTTTTCTCAATATCCTTTGCACGGTGGTTTGAAAGCTACAGATGACAGGCAAACAGAATACAGAGTAGCTTATATGTGTACTAGAAAACTGTAGCTACAACTACGGGCTAGGTGCATGTCCTGTTATATCAGACACTGTTTATCCCCTTATAAGTTGCATATATGTTACAAAAATGCACACCTGTCACATAGCACTGCCTCTGCAGCTGTGCTGTCTCATGAAATTCAATAGCCAGAGTGCTTCTCAATGCTGGAGTATACTTTCTGTACAAGAGTGGCATCTGTAGCCATTCAACAGAAAGAAGTTTGGCTTGTGTTTAGACAAGTTGGTATCATGTCCATCCAACAGTAATACCAGCAGTCTATAATCAGAGCTAGATCATCTCTTTATCAGACGCTCAGCTGTACTGAATGAGCCCCTTTAGGCTTCAGTCGATAAGCTTGCAAACTGGCTTCTCTCTCTGCTAGGCTTAGGATAAAAAGAGAAAAAGAAAAAAAAACAGCCAGTGTTTATATTCCTAGAATCTGCTCTTTCCTGTAAGCAGCCACCTCTCTGAGCTTGAAATAAAAGCAACATATTTTTCCTATGCAAATATATGTATCTCATAGATTACGTTGGTAATCTATGGCCACACATTTTATTAAGCAACCAATGAAACAAAGCTGAAACTGAGAATATATGCACAGTCCACAGCAACAAAAATGCTCTCAGTCAGCGTGCCCACAATCCAGCTGGGTAGCTTGGCAAACATATACAGCTATTTTAATTTTTAAAGTGCCCTGAAAACATTAATTTTCCGTATGAGAGCCTTGTAAGTACCATTCCTCCTTTAGAAATGGGGAAATGACAGGTAACACATTAAGTAAATGTCAGAGCCAGATTTAGAGTGAAGATTCTTTGGAAGTACATGATAATTTAACTGAGCCCATCAGTCCTTGCATATTTGCTTCACCAGGGTTTGGCTCTCTTGTTTATGTAGTGGATCTTTCTGCAATACTTTGCTGCTTAGGAGAGGAGTACGGTAGTTTGGTGATAGGAATTCTCCTGAGTAAATATGGTGCTGGTCAAAAGCCTTTTGGGGAAACAGCAACAGTTTGCTGACTTCCATGGGTTTTGGGATCAGGTCTGTTGAAAAGTTCTAAAGAAGTAACCATGAAAGTTAAAGAAGTGCAAGACTTCTGTGCTCTTTTCCATCCTGAAAAAATAGCATTTAACCAACATGACGGGAAGTGAAAATTGCTCCATGATAATGTGTATTGATCCAAATTGATCTTCCTGCTTAAAGTGTTCTTTTCCATGTGGACTTACAGTCAGACCATCTTAAGCTGTTCCAAGTCTCTGCAATCCAAACAAGCCAGATTGTTTCTGGTTGCTGCCTTGGAGACAGCATGGGAGCTACAGATGTTGCCAGAAATTGATGCTGGTTATTCAGCTGATGTAGGAGGCGTGTCTGCATGATACAATGAGCAACAAGATAGGGACCCTCAGACTAGAGCATTCTAGCTCTGAATCCAGAAGTAACATAGCTGCGGCAGTGCTAAAAAGCAGAGATGTTTAGCTTGGGTGTCATGCCACACTAGAGAGCTGAACTATTTTCAGAGCTAAGATAGTCTGTCTCTTTGCATCATATTGTACCACATGAATGAATCAGCCTACACTGCTCAGCCTTCAGTCGACAAGTCTCTGCCCATTGCTTCTTCCACAGCATGTTGTTGTGCCTGTTCTTCCCATTGCTGAGTCTAGATTGAATCAGTACTACCTGGGAAGGTATTTGGACATGGGCAGGGTGGCTGCAATTTATCTGAAGCTTTAATTAGAAGTATTTTAGCACATTTAAAATCCCTTAGTACTTTGTTACAATGTGGAAACTTCTATTATAGCTGTTAGTGCACTGGGAACCTCCTTTTTTTGACTGAATTGCACAAAATTACCTGCCCTCACTTTCTGAAGTTGCTGTGCACTGGTAAACAGCTGTCATATTGTACCCTTAAAACTGCTTTGATGATGGGTGGAAAGTGTGGCATGGAGTTTAAACGATATTAAATTTTGATAAGGTGATGGTTATTGTAGACCCTAAGATTAGACTGAGACGAGAAAAAGCCCAGTTTGTCCACTTTTTTTTGACTACGTTTGACATTAAAACTATAGCAAAAAGTCACAGATTTGCTTCATAATAAATTAAGAAGCAAAGCTGATATGGTTTTGATACGCTACAAAGTTGTTATGCTATATTCAAAGTATTCTCACAGAGTAATGCCTTGTTAGCATTTCCTTACCCCTTTCATATTCATAATCACCTTGACAAGGTAGAACAAGATTGCCAGTTCATGTAAAAGATTTCATCTTAGGAAAGCTTCAAAGAAGCTTTAATATCATGTTGCATTTACTTCGTGTTTTCCTTTCTTAGCCAGTCTTAAAATAATATGATACTATTTTTTACTGATTACATAACCGATGTAATTTCTAGATTAACATTATCTTTAATCTCACGATTTAATCATAGCTTACTCTTATACCTCTCTTCTCTATTTACAAACAGCTTTTAAAATACTTGGTAGCAGAACACCTTGACACTGCACTTAATTAATTAGTAGTTAAAAAAATTCTAACAATTGAAGTAACTTGGACCTTCTAGATTAACAAAACTGCATCCTTTTATCCAACCAACAAGCAGATTGCTATCATTTAGGGCAATGTGATACCTTTTTTTCTGTATGAACACATGAGCAGCTCAATTTGTTGATGCCCCAAAAAAAGCTTTCCAGACTTTATTTTCTCTTCTTGCATCTCTGCAAAATAAAGCCATCTCAGTAGGGTCGATACTGTATGTTGTTATTTATGTATACCATAGATATGTATAGGTATTTTAAACATTTGGCAAACAGCTTTTTGCAGCGAACATCTGTCAAAAGCTGTCTACCGTAGCTGTGTCCATGGGTCATGGTATATGTTAGAGCAACCTGCTTACCTCTGTGCTTTGATTTTCCTCCAAAGGAAAGCAAAGCATTTGGGGGCAGAGTGTGCACCCAGCTCTGAGGCTTGTGTGCAGTCAGAGCACAGCCAGGGGATGTGCACCGAGGACGGGAACACCTGAGCAGAGGGTACTTGCTCTGGGTGTGTGCATTATCCGTATCAGTAATGCATGTACAAATAATGCTCTGGAATAAATGAACTTGATTTCAGTTCAGATCTAAGAAGAGTTCCATTTTGTGCAAATAACTTATGGGCAAAATAGTGATAATCAACAAATTATGATTCTTCACAGTCTTCAGACTGCTCCACTTCTGCTCCTCAGTAGTTCTTCACTTTCTTACTTCAGTGTAGTTCTGTATAGTGCTTTGTGTGGAAAAAAGAATATATAGAAGAGAATGATGATCCGGGCAGAAAGTGCCAGGTTGATTGTTGTGAGATTCACTCTGCTCTGTGATGCCTGGGATTCAGACAACCCAAAGTCGCCCATACTCCTTGTGTCCAGACTTTGTTTGTTGGTTCTGTTCCTTCAGAAGTATCTGACTAAAAGGAAACAGAAGACAGAGGGAATTAGGTAAGATGTGAGTCTTACTTTTCCAAGCTTTCAATCCCCATCTGAAAAACAGTAAAACTAATAGATCTTCATTAAGTCACAGGGTGACTGTGAGGTAAATAGAAGACTGTGAGCTGGCATACTACTGTAGTATTGGTGACTGTTTAAATAATCCAGATAGATATGACATTTTGCACTCAACTCAGTTGTTTAAACACAGGAATCTAGTGCCATTTGAGACGCCTGAAGTATTCAAGGCACCCACACAGAGCTGTTAGGTATAACACAGGCTCTATGGGTACCCGTGCCCTCCTAGCTGCTAGCCTGAGTGTCCTTAGGGCACCTCAGATATCACTAGAAACCTACACTGAGGCATTGAATCAAGTTCTCTGGGCATGATTCTGTGATATCGTAGATTAAGATGCCTAAATTTAAGTGTCTCCATGTAGCTGCCTCCATGTGAGCCAGGTGTCAGAGCACCCATTACAGCCAGTGAAGAGCTAGTCAGTGCAGTGGCATCAAGAGATCTGTGTAATGACCAAAAGTAAGTTTTTTATTTTCAGTGAAATGAATAGCTCTAGGATGCCCTCAGATACCTTGTGTGAGCTTCAGGTGCTGGTCCAATAGGACACAAGTCGTTAGGTCTTGTGTCATATCTGTTAACCTTGTGCGATGTCTCATCTACTCTACAGTTTCTCAAATGGTATGACATGTTCGTGTTTAGCCAACTAAATCAAGCCCCATTAACTGTAACCTAGTCCACATGGAGATATCTGTACGTAGACACCAAAACTTAGATTTCTGTCTATAAATTGAGTTTTTTATGCACTATAAACTCATGTGTGCTTGCTTTATATTTTATACTTTATCCTCTACCCTTTATAATTCATACTTTAATTTATATTTTATACTTTATATTTTACATGTATATAAAGTACAACATTGTGTTATATTTCTCCTCAGCTATAGGTTAGTACTAGCCTTCTTGTTTAGGAAGCCTCTCTCTGCCACACGTATCCATCTATACGTTTTGCTTTTCTTTCAGCTGTGGCTTGGCTGGAGCAATAGCAAATGCAAAGTAGTTCAGGATTCAGCAGTAGCTATTGTAGATATTTGAAATGATGACTAGTTGTAGCTTGGCCAGATTGCAGTAGCTAGTAACAGCATTTGTCTTTTCTCTCACTTCCTTATTACCATCCCTCTCCTATTTCTTCATTCATCTTTCTTTCTTTCTCACTTTTTAGATTGATCTTATATATCTTCCTTTTCTGTCATCCCCTTCCTTCCTTTTATTTCCTGCTTCTTCTGCTTCTCTTTCCTTGCTTCTAACATAATCAATATGCAGTTTACAAAAAGAACTCTTGTACATTTGGCATTTTCCCCATAGTTGCTTATTGTTAACATAACAAACTGGTGTCCATGGCATTCTTTTTTTTTCTTCTTCTTTTTTTGCTTGTTTCTGAAGAGCTATTATGCTAGTTCCTAGAAGCTTTGAGGTGATAACAGGCATAGACAAGCACAATCTGTTCATTGTCAATATGAACGTTTGATGCTGCAACTGAAGCACACATGGGTGCAAACTCTTGATATATGCAGAAAACACATGTACAACCTTTTTTGCACACTTTTTTTTCTTTTTCTGAGCGCAAATACAAAGTCTCACCACCTTTTCACTACCAAAGCCTTAACATGTCTCACCCTCTGATAAACCCTCCAAGACAGCAGGATAATGATACGGTACACTAAATCGGAGGGTCTGGATAAAACATTATGTTTAAAAAAAAAGATCCTGAAGTTACTGATCTGACACTTGATTTTTATTGGAGAGTCACACTGACATCTGTTTGCTAAATACTGATGAATCACTGTCTGCTCTCTCTCCCTCATCCATTTGAAAACATTTCACACATTTTCTTTGGTGATTAGTTCAAGCACTTTTGCTATCCAATGAATGGGGCTTATCCTGAGTGCTTGCTTAGCTTAAGATACGTGAGAGACCACATTTAGTGCATGTAACCTGCATATCTCCTGCATAGCCAAAAGGTTTCAGAGCTGTAGTTCTTCAAGCACTCTGTGACAATGCTCATTGTAAACCTTTCTATACAAAATCTTGGGTAGCCCCAAGATCTCAGATGTCACAAGTTCATTTTTATGTTTCGGCGATGTATGTCGACCAACACCCCCAGGTCCTTTTCCGCCAGGCAGCTTTCCAGCCACTCTTCCCCAA